GGGGGGAGGCACATGTAGAAGAAGCAATGTCACAAGCGGGGGCCATTCAGGTATAGAACATGAAGGGGGCAGCAGATGTCAACAGCAATATAGAGGGGGGGCTAGTTTTTCTTGTATGGGCTCTTGCTGTAGTTTCACTGCCCCCCCCCCCTCCATGATAAAAAATGAACGGTCCCTTATTTGAACCAAAAAGACTTTTTTTTTGCCAAAACAATTAAACATTTATACCAAAGCAAACAAATAACACTATTTTGACTAGCAACAAAGGGGGAAGCTTTTTAATAAAGACATATAGTTCAAAAAAACAAACTGTAGTCGGTCTTTTCAATCTTTCTTAGTTTTTGTCTGTATTTAAAATATTTTACCATCTGAAGATATAAGGGATCTTTTTCGTAGTCAGAAGTACTAGTGTTAATTGTTGATGCAGTACTTGTATTCAATCTCTGATTCTCAACTTGAAAATTAACTTCAGTAGTAATAATAGCAGGAGTTGATGCAGTACTGKTATTTTCAACATCTAAATGARCTTCATTGGACACATGCCAGTGATTGCCTTTCCCTTGTCCACAGGTTTTACTTTTCTTTGCCTTCTTTTTCTGCTTTGACCTCTTGATATAAGCCATTCGACTTGTTTTATTGTGCTTTCCCATAGTCTACCATCAAATACATCAGCAAGAAATGATTTTGGTAAATTTCTATCACGCCAGCTCTCTAACTTTGTCATGAAATTTGGTCGTTGTAAAAACTGTTCCAGAGTAGACACTATGCTATTGTAACAGTACACTTTGTAGGGATATAATCTAGTTTTTCCACCTTTCAAATGTACCTCTCTCAARAGTGATTCATTGCATTGTGTTCGACGGAATTGCTGGCGATGGTGTGGAAATTCAACAAATGTGCATTTCTTTGTGACATGCTTTCCAAATTGTAGAGTGTAACAATCATCAAAATTATACAGATTCTCACATTTTGGACAARCTACAAACTTTATGAATTTATCTTGATTTAGTCCCAATTTGTTCTTRAGCAAATGCAATGACTTTGGAATCAGCATAGCCAAGCCTGTTACCATGGGAACCATGGGCACCGTTGATCCCAGTGCTTCAAAGAAAGTTTTCAAGAARCTCAATAGAATATCAATTGCATTATCTGAGAGACTACRAAATGAAGACCATARACATACGAATAGTAGCAGCCAATRAACAAGACCTTTTACTTTATCCAATGTACCCAAAACATTAACAACCACTGAATACAGGTTTTTACTGACCCTGAAATCACAGTCAACGTCTATGTCGTTCAGGTCCCATACTTCCTGTAGCTCTGGTCTCCTTTCGTGATATATAAATTCATCATCACTCTCTCCCTCAGAAAGACCAACAAAGTTTCGATCTTCCGTTTCTAATTCTGCAATGTTGACACCTACCAAAGCAAATATATTTTTATTAAGCATAGTTTCATAACAAACTGTTATTTATTGTAATAGGAGAAATAAAATAAAACCCATGAAAAAACTTAAACAACWTTTTTTTACAGTTAAAACTTAAAATACCTTGAGGATTTCGATCTTCACAACTCGAAGTCGCTTCAAAATCTATACTGTTGTCCCCATTTATACTCAAGCTGGTATCACTATCGGTATGTTCTTCTTCGGAAGATTCACCGCATATTTCCCACTTATTCTCCTTTTTGTTGAAATATAAATCTACATGTTGTCTGAATGTCCTCAAGGAAACAAACTCTTTGCAGTGTTCACAGTATTTTCGCTTTGAATTTGACGGCATGTTTCTCGGATTTGTTTCATGGTTGTCTGGCGGGAACTGTACCGGAACACAGGAATCCCATACCGGTATTCCAGTTAAATTATTGTCACGTGTCTGGTCACGTTTATCAGTTGATTTTAAAAGGGAGTTGATTTTAAAAGGGAGCGTTTGGGAGTGTAGAGTGCATTCAGTCAAACTGTTGAATAGTTAGATAAATGTATCTTATAACTTAGATGAGTATTTAGTTGATGTCAACTAAAACATTAACTAACTTATCTAATTTAGGTGACGTCAACTATTCAACAGTTTCACTGAATGGACTCTATGCAAACAGGAAATACCGATCATATTTCAATTAATAATTATGACCTTTGAAATTCATATCATGTAAGAACCACGTGCTGTATTTACTTTAAGCCAATAGCGTTACAGCTTATCCAAACAGCGCAAATCTAACCAACCGCAT